AGTGGAATAGTGAAATGATCTTTTTTGCTGCTGTTGAGGATCATTGACTGAAGAGTCTTTGTTAGTTTGTGGAGGGGTCATTGAGTCCAATATGGGTGCATACTTTTTTGTCTTTTGAGAAATTTGTAGATACTGTTTTTTTTGTCATGAATGGCAGCATCTTGTTGCCTTTTCACGAGCAATTTTTTCTCTAAAAAAATTATATGGTTTGACTTCCACAGGAGGATTGATATGATAGAGGAGTTAGAGAAGATTGCTAACCTCTCAATACCAAAAGACTTGGCCAGTGATGAGGCAAACAAGTACCTGGCAAATGCATGTTTAAAGTTTGATGTCAAATGCCCTCCTCCTCAAACAACAACTCGTTTGTTAGACAAGGTATGTTTTCTTTGTTTCAAATTAATTAATTAAAAATTTGGTGGCCTTGAAATTATGATTATCTTAAATTGTTCGAGTAGGCACTCCAGATCTCTGTGAGCTTAATGGGAGCCATGTTTAAGTCACTATGTTGTTTGCTGACCATAAATGTAAAAAGGCTGAACTGTCAAGAAAGTAGGGCTGGAAAGTATTAATATGACTTGGGGTATTTTCTGGTGGGAAGTAAGAGATTAGGCTTAGGGCATGGATGAGCTGTTCAAACTGTGCTAAATATTATGCACGATTGGGTAGCATGCTTTCTTTTCTGTCTAACATATATATTTTGATGAAGGAACACAAATTTTATGAAATCTACCAGCTCTTTCCCTCTATTAAAATGCACCGAACTTATTAATAAAAGAATAAAAAAATTAGAAGACCTTCTTCTATTACTAAGTGACATCTACTGGGCCTAAAATTATCATAATACTTCAACAATCTACTAAAGAAAGAGTAAGTTTTGGTGTCTAGATATTCTTGTATTTGATTTATTATCATGTGCATATCAGTTAATTAAGATTGGATTTTTGCAGCTACTGTCTGATGCTGTTTTTTACTCCATTAGTAATTATATGTCCTATTCATGGGTATACAAAAGCATGTACCATTTTAAGCGTATTTATTTTATTAAGGGTAGATGGACCATTAGCAATTATATGTTGCGTTCAGTCACGAGTGTACAAGATCATGTGTCATTTTAGGCATATTTATTTTACTTAAGTATGCGCACACCAAAACTACTCATTGCTTATTTATTATGTTCTGAAAATGCTAGACTTTTTGTGTGGAAAAAGAAGTATTATTAGAGAGGTTAGAAATAAAGTACTTAAAAAGGAAGGAATAGATGTTCACAAAAATGAAGTAAAACCAAAAGCTGAAAAAGGCTCGGATAAACAATGTAAAATCAATTAAAGCAGCCAGTCAATTCTATGTAAATAGACATCAGTAGAAGCAGCCGGCTAATTTGTATACAAAATAGGCAGAAAACTATTCTTGCAAGGCCTGTGTGCCTTAACCCAAAGGGGAGCCAAAAGAATCATCTGAGTCATTTCCTTGCTCCAATAATTTATGATCTTGTGATGATTTTTCTTTTAAGATGTAGGCATGTAACCCCGAGCAGCTGTATATTATGAAATTCTGTTTAGATTTTCATTTAGTTTTCTGTTTATAAAATTTTTCCGTGTTTTCTGTTTTTCCAGTGTTATTGTTTTTAAACTTATCTCTCAAGTGTATGCCATTGCAGCTCGTGGGGCACTTTTTGGAAGAGACGTGTGTAAATCCTACCTTCATCATTAACCATCCTGAGATAATGAGCCCCTTGGCAAAGTGGCATAGATCGAAACCTGGCCTAACAGAACGCTTTGAATTGTTTGTCAACAAGCATGAAGTATGTACATTTAGCTCCATTTGGTTGTTGAAAACCATTACCTTATTTCTGTTTTAATGTTCATTAAAAATGAAACATAAGAGCAAACACGTTTTGTTTGTAACAGAAAATTGTTTCTGAAGATGAAAATGAAAATATTAGAGAAAGAGAAAAGAAAAATAAAGTTCCTCTCTGATGTTCTCATGAATTTTTATTTTCAGAAAACAGTTTCTGTTTTAAACTACCAAATAATTTTTGGTAAAATTTGTTTTCATTTTCATTTTCAGAACTGAAAATTAAAATTTAGATAAGAACTAAACCAGCTTCAACTTCATAATTTCTTGTTTTCTGTTTCCTGTGTTAGTCCTTTTAATTTTCAGGATTGTTAGTTACTATGTTGTGACTGCAGCTTTGCAATGCATATACCGAGTTGAATGACCCTGTTGTACAACGTGAACGATTTGCTGAACAGCTCAAGGTATCATGCAAATCGATGGTTAATCTTGTAATATCTGGAATAGAATCTATCTTGCAATTTGATCTTAAAAAATTAATTTCTGGTCTGAATATCAGGACCGACAGTCGGGTGATGATGAAGCAATGGCTTTGGATGAAACATTTTGTACTGCTCTTGAGTATGGGTTGCCTCCCACTGGTGGTTGGGGAATGGGTATTGACCGGCTGGCTATGTTGTTAACTGACTCACAGAATATCAAGGTTTTTTGGCTCTCTGTCCCTGTCTAGTTCTTTCCTCTCTCCAGTTTGTCAGCAGTTAGTCACCATCTGCTTATGTTGTTCTGTTATAGGAGGTTCTTCTCTTCCCAGCCATGAAACCTCAGGATGAGCCAACATCTGCTAAAGGTAACTTCCAACTCATTTTATTTTGTTTTGCCATTCATTGAAAGCCCACTGCGAGAAATGAATTCAGCCTATCAAGGAAAGAGATATATTTAACTAGAGTAGCTCTTATGGGTCTCATAAACTTAATTGATTTCTTCAATTTTCCTTATTTTCATGGTTGTTTTTCATTGCTTTTTTACCATATGTATACTTGTTTATGTCCATGGGTATCCTTTTTTACCATATGTATGCTTGTTTATGTCCATGAGTATCCTTTTTTACCATATGTGAAGAGAGCCCTTCTCTTCTTGTAGTTTTGCAATGATGGCTTGCCAATAGTAGCTATGGCTCAGACTGGTATATCTTTAGTTATCATGCTCAAGGATTTTTCCTGCCATACACCCAAACCAAACCTTTTAAATTTGGTTTCTTAAATAATTGAAACCTAACCAAACAATTTTATCATAAAATCGAACCAAGAGAATTTAGTTTGGTTTGGTTTGTTTAATGCACTTCTAAAAATCCTATAACTCCTGCAAAAATTTTATCCTCACAAATTCATTAGAGTTCTTTGAACTAGAAGTACAGATGTAACAAGGGCGAGAGTCCTAAAAACACAGAAGAAAATCATGCACCCTTGTTTGAGTTTCTTATTCCTAGATTGTGGTTCGGCCATCTGCTACTGTCTGTTTCAAGATATAAGCATTTTAAATTATGGTTGTTGGTTCAATTTCTCTGGCAGCTGTAGCTACATGAAGAATTTGGATCCAGTAAGCGAGCAACCGGTTCATATCTAGCACTTTTTTTGCCAGTGAGACTTGCAAGCTGCTTGAACACGGTTAGAAGTTTTGTGGGATTGTCATAATTTCTTGTTTAAATATAAAAAATATGCCAATTTTTTTTTTCTCCACAATACAAATATGTCTTATTTATTTAATTCAGAATGTTAATGTTCTATAATCATGGGAATACTGTATTATCCATTAGGAGGTTTTTTATTTTTGGAAACTTTTCAACATAGAAGAAGCAAAAGTTTGCACGATTCTTTGTGACTGTCTTCCGAAATAGTAGAAAAGAGGTGGAACCTAAAAATGATTTAGGATGACTCTGGGAATAAGAGTTTTGTTTCTGAATTTTATTTTGAAAAATCTACACTTAGTTCTTGGTAGTTCTGAGGTTGTAATGCAAGTGTCTGGGTAGGATATAGAGTATTTTTGAATGCAGTATAGCACAGTAAATTGCAAAAGTAAAAGTCACGTTCTTTAGTTTAAATAAAATTTGGAAGGGAATTAAAGATGCAGCTGGATATTGAAACGAGACAAGGATGGAAGGGAGAATCTTATCTCTGTAAATAAGCCGATGTCTCTCACATTTACAGAGATACATGATACTGTCTTCAGATTTTAACTTCTTTTTTAGTCACATTGGATTGCTATCTAAAATTTATTTTCAGACATTAAAGTATGATATTTTTAAATGTTGATTTGACAGAATAAAATTAATTAAATTGAATTAAATAATAACAAATAACAATTTGTAATTCTAATGTGGGCTGGTTGGGGCATGTTCTTCTTAGGTGTCATAGAGATAAGCCCATGGTTTGGACACAAGCAAACATTTTATGTGGGCAGAAAACTCATTACCTGAGTGTTAGTGCATTTATAACCGGAGGTGGAAGTTAGTACATTTATAACCAGAGGTGGGATGTTAGCCAGCTACAGTCCAGTTCAATGCTGGACTTGGTAGACAAATACCATTCTAAATTGTATATTATATATAAAGAGAAGTATATAATAGTAGTAATAGTTCGATATAAAGCATTAATGAGATTTAAAATATGTGAATGAATTGGCAGACATACAAAATGTTTTAAAGCAAATACCAGACTCGTTTAATTTTTTTATCCAAAAAATTAGCTGAAATTGAACTAAATGATTGGCAAAGTTTACATTTATGGTTGTCGCATCAAATATAAAACCTAAATTTCACAATGGAATGATCAGTAGTGGTCATTGTAACAAAGGTGAAAATTTATGGCAATGATCTAGTTTTTCTTTTTCTTTTTCAGAAGCAGAAATTCATTAAGAAAATAAATCCCTATAATAAGAGTAAAAAATGTTATAGTAAGCTTGAATCCACAATATTAATCACAGGATTAATTTCTTGTTATCAAACGTTGAGGAGTAATGATGTTCAAAAATGCGATTTGATGATTAAAACATTATTATTTACAATTAATAATATAAATTTCAACTTCCTATAACACTCTTCAATAGAAAAATGTCACAACTTATAAACTATATAGATTTTAGAAGAAAAAGAGAATTTTTTATATCATCTCCTTTAGCCGGTTCAACAACTATATGTGTCTTTGAAAAAAAATTAGAGGAACATAATTCCAAAATTAGATAACTTTTCCTTTTCAGAATAGAACCTTCTGGTTATAATTTATGAATTTTCTTTTCATCTTTTTGCATTATTAAACATTGTAATTAACTCAAAATTTAGGTATTTGGATTGAATAAATCCTGACCCAGACTGAAAATCTGGATTAAATCAGATTGGTACTTAATCCTTTGTCCAAAATACAAGAGACCACGGCTTTTGGTTTTGTTTCAGTCTAATCCCAATTAATCTGGTCCAAGTTTGACTAAGAAACCATTACATATTTGAGACAGTAAAATAACAAAATGTTATAAATAAAAATTTACCAAATCACCAATCCCTAAAAAATTCACTGTCTGTTTGTTTCCCTTTCTCCTGCGTACCTCTCCTCTCACCTCTGTTCTTCACGGCTGCTAGCTGGTGCTTCTGTGTGTCTTTAACCATCGTGACTGGCGTGTTACTCATTTCTTCTCTCTTGCGTGTATCGCCTTTGTGATAGGTTGATTCGGCTGTAAATCAGAAAATAAATTAATAAATTTTATTTATTTTTTTAAAATTTTACAAACATATTAATTAAGGATATTCAAGAGCACCAAATGAGTACAATCTATATACACAAATTTATCAAGATATCAATAACATTTTAAAGTTCTTGTTAGAATAAAAGGGCTAAACCTTGATAAAAAAGTTTCAGGGTTTGAATCTAAGAATCTTTAAGGTTATGAGAGTTTGATTCAGTCTCCTAAAAAATCTTTCTATTTCTTTCTTTTTTAGATGATTTAAAAGATAGTTAGAGAAACATAACTTTTTCTCTCATCTTCATGAAAATTAAAAATATTAATTAAACATATATATATATATATATTAAATCAGTATACACGCATCTGCACTTATTAATTTAATATATATATATGTAACTATTTGTTAAAATAAATTAAAAGTCTTAATCGATTTTTTGAGCACTTAGTTTATCAAATTTGTATCAATTCGCAGACTTCTGCTCTGTTGTTTTATCTATGGCATAAAAAGTCACTTGTTACATAAAATTCTTAAATTTGACCAAATGGTAGCAATTTTTTTTATTAAGAAAATTACAAACTGGGGCATATTGTATGTACTGAAATGATAATTTACCTTTGAATAAAAAACAATTTTGTACACTAACCATTAGATCTACCCCAAAATCCCTATTCTCGAAAAACAATATCTACGCTATAATGCCATGTGAAATGAACAAATTGGTCCTTAATGTTCATGTTTCTGTTTAAAAATTTTCAAAAAAAGACAGCTCTTCTTCTTTTAGGGTAAACGCTAAATACCAATAGAATTTCTCATATATGTCTCTCTCTCTCGCTCTCTGTATATATAAATATATATATATATATATAATGGACTGAGAGACCTCTTGATTTTGTTAGCCATTAAAGACGGTAAGTGATTAAGTGCATTGAAAGTTTGTCTCTTTGACTACTAACCAAAACCTGCTAGGCTTGGCAAAATTCTGAACGGATGGCTCCGGAAGTTGCCGTGCAAGATCTTCAATCTAATTCTCTTCTTTTTTTTTTTTTTTTTTTTTATGAACAAATTAATTTCTGCAACAAGCAATGCCTGTGGAATTGTTGTAATTTAATGATTTCAAATTGGCTAAGACCCAATTTTATAAGTCAGCTTCTTTATGCCATGACATGCATATTAGCTTGTAATTATAATAAATTGTACCTCCTCAAAAAGGAATGGTTCATGCATTTTTTATCCCTATTAACCAATAATATATATATATATATTATATAAATAATATACACACATGGCATTGAAAGTACAGCTTTGGGTAGCTCATGTTATATGGTGCTTTCAATTATTTTAAATAACAAGTAGATTCTATAATATTATATATATTTTACACTAATTCTTTTTGAGATTTGAGTGAGGGACAAATCTCGAATGGAGTCGTCAATTCTATAGCAAGAACATTATTGTATACAATAAATTAGGTGATAAATTAAGAGAGAAAATTGTTCTCCTTATAAACAAATAATTCTCTCAATTTTGGCATTAATTATGAGATAAGAGTTTCGTCGAATTTAAAATAAATTGTAATATTTTTGTTGGTTAAACAGATATTGTGATCTTTTTCTTATAAACTCTGAGATTTTTTTAATTTTAAATAAAAATACATGAAGTTTTAGTTGGAACCATCAATTTAATGAGATATGTGTATTTCGTACCCGTAATAAGCTATTAGCAGTATGTATATTTCGATCTAAATTGAAAAATTAAGTTGAACTAGAGATTTAAAAAATATATGGATTGGACCAAATAATACTTTGTTCGATTCTCGGTTCACAAGATAAGGAATTTAAATGATTTGGACCAAAATACTTAAAAATATATATATATATATATTATTTATCAATTTTTTTGTTAACAAATTATAAAAAAATAATAATAATCTTTGTCTAAACTGAAGACCCATCTCCTCACTTTTTATTGGGTGGTAAATCGGATCTTTTTCAGACTATTAATAATCTTTTAAGCTAAATCACCCTTAATTTTCTTTCTCCATGCACGTAATCGTATTTAATTATTCACGATCCAAAGGCCTAAGAATATTTAATTAGAGTTGTTCTCCTTTTTAAATTCCATCTAAGAATTTCTGCTAATTAGCATATTTTTTAATTTAATAATATCTAAATTTTACTGGATTAGAATCTCAGGATCACTAGTACGAATTCATAAATCTGTTCCGAGTATTAAAAAAAAAAAACGAAGGAAGAAAACAATGAGCCTTAAAGTGCAGAATCTTGTTCATATCCTTTACAATTCAATTTCTTTACTTTTGCCTTTTGGAATTATCTATGGCTTCTCCTAATAGAGAAAGATACTCTTCTATTAAAAAAAAAAAGACATGCCACAAAATTCCAATCCCACTTGAGCTTAGTGGACTTTCATGTGTACTTTCCATATATTCTCTCACAAATTTTCATCAACCCATATGCAATATTTCTTCATACAAAGTATCTAAACCCTAGATAAAGCCTTGTAATCAAACCATATAATATATTTTAAAGAACATATACATACATATCTATGAAATAATAATTTGTGTGATGAAAATATGGTAGATCCCTTTTATTGTTTCAAGAAAAAAAATTAGATTAGTAAACAAAACCGGTAAAATAATCTAGAAATCTCTATATCAATAATAATAAAATAAAATATTATTTCATCGTATATTCATTAGCAAAATGGTTTTTTTTTTCTTTCATTAAAAAGTATCAAATTTATTATTCATATTTTATTTTAACATTTTACCCACAAATAATAAAATTGTACATAAAGCAAAATAGATGCAAAAACAAAATTGGTTTAGAGTATGATTGTAAAAATATAGATACAAAATGATAGACTTCAAACCAGTATCTAAGACTCTTAATTCCAATTATGTATCTCAAAATTACATATATGTATATATGTATGTGTGTGTGTAGATGTAACAACGTACATGATATTGCAACAAGCCATGCTGATTTTTTGTTCAAGAATCTCCATGATGAGGAAAGACCACTAATTACAGACACCCAAAAGCACTAAAAAGGGAATTGGTAGACATAAATGGGTGGGTATGATCACCAAATACGTACTAGAGGAGATGCTTCC